TGTAGAGATGAGGTCTCGCCTGCCCAGGCGGGTCTCGAACCCGCGGGCTCAGGCAATCCACTCACCTCAGCCTCCCAAAGGCATGGGCTGAGCCACCGAGCCCGGCTACTTTCCTGCCTTCTCAGGTCTTCTCTTTCTCTAGAAGGAGACAGGCCTCTTAGTCAAAAGTCACCTCCTTCTTCCTCTTGCTAAAAACAGTGCGGGGGGAAATCCGGAAGCTGGGGCAGCCAATGGCATCGGGTGGGCCTTGGCTCACTCAGTCTGTCTCTTGGGGACCTTTATTTTCCTCTGCCGGGTGGAGAAGACTTCCCAGCTCTGCTGATGGAACACACCTAAGTGCTGCAGGCAGGGAAGAGCTGACCCCCCTGAAAGCCTCCATTCTGGGGCAGCAGTTACCAGGGGGTAGCAGCATTTGCCATTAAGCTGGAAGTCTGTGGGAGAGGTAGAATTGGGTGCAGGGTTGGGGGTCAGCAGAACAGGCCTGACCATGCCCCACCCCACCACAGACACCCAACCTGGGAGTGAGCTTCAGAAAGGAAGGGGTGCCAGGCAGCCGGGCTGCCATGGTAACAGAGTGACAAGTTTCCTGGATTACTCTCCCTTGGCCTATGAGTCAGCACAACCAACTTCCTGCCCCCAGAGGGCTTCCTTCCTAGAGACCTGGAAAGTTGGAGGAGCTGACATGACCTTTGATCTCCAGGGGGTAGGAGGGTTGCCAAGGATGCCAGGCTCACCGCTCACCAGGTGAGACTGTGAGAGGGGACTGAGAGAGTCCTGGGTGGGAGGGCCTGGCCAGGGGCCTGTGAAGTTGGGAACCTCAGGCAAGTGGCTGTGCCTCTTCGAAGCCAGTTTTCTCATGTGTGCAAAGGTGGCAAAGATCGAACTCTCCCATAGGCGCACTTGAGGAATCATTACAAGGCCACACTGGGTCCGTGAGACATTGAGGAATTTTCATAATCTGCTGATACATTACCTTGACTGGACCCTCTCTGATCTGCAGACAAAATTCTTGCTCCAGACAGCATTTTTAGGAACAGCAAGGCCTCGGCTGGGCTCAGCCTCCAGATTCTCATGAGAGATACAAAACAACGTACCCCAGATAGAATCAGCATCCTACCGTGATCTTGGAGCTGAGGTACTCTTGTGGGCTTTGATTCAGACCATTGGTGCCTCGGTTTACGTCTTGGTGAGAGGCACCGATCTCGGCCTGACCCTGTCTCCTGCAGGACTGGCAAGCACATGTGGCGGTCCGGTCTGTTGGGGAGGGACGGCTGTAATGTTAGCCTAAGCAGAAGATAATTGGGAAGGCCAGTCGGCTGTCGTAAACAAAATGCTTTCCACGACCTGGGATCAATTATTTTGGGATTATCTTCCTCCTCAAGTTCTCTGCCCGCCAGTACCCTTTTGTTCCCAGGTTCCAACGCAGGTTCAGAAGTTGCTTGGAATTTCTGTGAGAATGAGTTGGAAGGAGGGGCTCAAATTGTGAGACATTATTGGACCTCTGACACATTTGGAGTTCAGGGAATGTGGAAATGAGCAAGAAATTGCTACCACGACTCATAGTGATAATCACTAGTAGTAATCATTCTTGCTATTGTTGATTGGACGGCAGTAGCTAGACACTGCTACATGTAGCATCTCGTGTGATCTCCCCACAACTGGGTGAGGGTAGGTGGTCATTTAGTCCCCTGGCAGGTAAGCCGTAGAGCCCTGTGACTGTCGTGAAGTCCCGTTGCTGTAGGAGAGCACAAAGCAGAGCGTGGTGGGAGGACAGAACTGGGAGGCACAAGTATAGTCGTAAGAGCAGGGATTTGAGCCTGACAACCTGGGTTCAAATCCCGGCTCTACCTCTTTTTTTTCTGAGTTGGAGTCTCACTCCGTTGCCCAGGCTGGCGTGCAGTGGCATGCTCATGGCCACCCCAGTATTGACCTGCTAGGCTCCAGCGATCCTTCCACCTCAACCTTCCAAGTAGCCAGAACTACAGGCATGCGCCCAGCTAACTTTTGATTTATTGTAGAGACGAGGTCTCACCAAGTTGCCTGGGCTGGTCTCAAACCTGCAGGCTCAGGCAATCCACTCGCCTCAGCCTCCCACAGGCTGAGCCACCAAGCTCGGCCCAGCTCTACCTCTTAAGAGCTGTGAGACCTTGGTCACTTAACCTTTCTGGGCCTCAGTTCCCTCATCTTTGAAATGGGGCAGTTGTAGTAGCAACCTCATTGGTGTGAGGATTCATTGAGGTGATATCTGCAAAGCGCGTACCTGCCCCAAGTATCCCAGAAGCTCGCTCACCCTTGTTCCCATGATGTCAGTGCCGCTTTGTACGGGTTGGGTGAGTTGGAAGAATCTGATTCTAGCAGATCCTTGAGAGTGGTGGAAAAGAGTCCTCTGGCCAAGGAAATGGCAGGAGCTGTTCCAGAGATGAGACATTACAGGGTCTGGGGCAAAGGCAGTGGGTGCTGGTATGGCTGGGGTTGTGTGAAGGAAGAAGTAGCGAAAGATGAGCTGGGCATAGTGGTTCTCGCCTGTAATCCCAGCACTTTGGGAGATTGAGGCGAGAGGATTGCCTGAACCCAGTGTTTGAGACCAGCCTGGGCAACATGATGAGACCTCATTTCTGCAATAAATCAAAAAAATTAGCCAGATATGGTGATGCATACCTGTAGTTCCAGCTACTTGGATGACTGGGGCAGAAGGTCAAGGCTAAGGTAGCAGTGAACATGCCACTGAACTCCAGCTACGGAGTGAGACTCCTACTCAAAAAAAAGGAAAGATGAATCTAGCCAGACAAGATGATGAGGGTGAGGG